GCCACACCGCCGACAGCGGACCTCGAGCCTGCTGCCAAGCCGGGCTGTCGGACATAATGTCTCTCAAACAGGTCCACGCACGTTGAAGTCTCGACAACTGCACCCTTCCGTCCCAGATGAACGTGGCGAACTTGACACACACACAAGTAGTGGAGTCGTAGATCGGGTCGTATAGCGGATCGGCCTGCGTCAGCAGATACGAGGTGATGCCACCGTGCTGCTTGGCACCTGCGATCGTAGCCGCAAGCTGCCTCAAATACTTCAGCGCAGTGTCTGAGACGCCCGACACGGAACCACCGTGCCCAGCTGCTGGAAGAGCTCCTGTCCTCCAAAGTCGGGTTGCACGACTGCCAGTAGCATGTTTCAGAGCGCCAACTTGTCTCGACGACGTTTGAGAGCAAGTAGCCTTTTCTTCTCCTGCGTGCGAACAACCCGACCAGCAGCTAATTCGTGCCCGAGATTTCTCATCCATTTACGAATAGGTAGACGCAGCCGAACAGCCATCTTCGAGAAAACCTTCCGAGCAACTTTGTTCCCTGCAATGAGCCCCGACTTTTTGACATGGGAGTGGAGCCCAAGATTCTTGGCATCTTCGGTGAACACTTTCACAGCCCGCTCCAGGAAACGCACATCACGAGGATCCGATGTGACGAGCTGAATCGAGATGTCGTCGACGAGGGCTCTCGGTGTAATACAGGGCGAAATGTCATTGAGTCTACGCACAGCACGCAGCGTGAGAAGGAAAAGCATGCCTGTCGCATGATTGCACCCAGCGAGGATGCCTTGATGCGAACAGAACTGCAACGACAGGCTGCCGAAAGCTCGAAGACGCCGTGGCTGCCTGTACAGGTCCACCAGCATCCAAGCAAGCCGCATTGGAAAGTGCAACGCTTCAGCCTCTTTCAACAGCTGCTCCGAGTGAACCATTTCGAAGCATTTGATCATGTCTAAGCGGACAGATATTGAAATATCACCGACTAGCGCAGCCATTTCGGCAGCAATGTTGTGGGCAAAAGCACTGTCAGAGGAACTGTGCCCACGACGAGTACCCCAAACAGCGTGGCAGTCATTGCGCTCTTGCCAGTCGAAGGTGATGGGCTTGCGAACTTTGCCCCAGACACGGCACAGTAACGAGACAAGAGCAATCAAACGAGTCCCACCATCTGGTTTGGCAAGACGACATATCTCGTTACATACACGCTCTCTAGGCCAGGCTAAGTGCAACTCGCACAAGTTAAAGAGTTCAGCAATCGCCGAGAAGGCCGATCTAGGCAAATGTATTAAAGCTCTAGGATGAATACCCATCATGCCTCCAGCAGTACGAATGGGGTAAGTGTGAACGGCATCCTCCACCTGAGCGGCCGTGGTAGGCGGCAGCATGGGCCAACTGGTGGACCCTCGGGGAAACTCAAGAGCGGAACAACCGTGGAACAACCAAACCTCCTTCCAGGGAGCAAGTTCGTCATCGGCCTGCTGGTGGGGTGCCTCTCGCGCCTGGTTGCTTAAAACCTCTTGGATGGCCTTCACTTTTGAGAACCTGTGAGCCTTCGAAGCACCAGCATAGAAAGCGTCCCTAGCCCATTGCCTCCAAGCCTGGGACGCCGCATTCTCCGCACGAGTGATAGCTGCCTTCGCACGAATGTAGATAGAGGTGAGCATGCTGGCCACATCAGGACGTGCGAGGACGGCAAAGCCACCGTTGAAGAAATCACGCACATCCGAATCGAGGCAACCCAAGACTTTTTTTTGCAGCGGGCGATGTTGGCCATGAAACGCTCGAACTCATCGAATGCCGAGAGAAGCTTGCGAAATTGCAGGGGCGCAGTAGAGCACAGAGCATCGTTTTCTTGCAAAAGCCCAATTCGCTCACTGAGATGTTCTCTGGCCTTGCCTAAGTGTTTGGCCCACCCAAGAGCTACAGCCCAGGCGCGCGCCTGCGGATCCTTATAAGTCCTCCTTCTGGGGGGAGTCCAGACAAGCTTTTTGAAGTGGACCTCCAGAGGCCCACTGCGGCCAACATAGGCCTCGGCGGCTAAGCCAACACGGTCCCACCTGGCGGCCAACTCTCTCTCCACCCCTTCGAGGACGAGATCCCAAAAATCAGCAACCTTGGCCACAGAGTCAACTTGCGGGGCAGCGGTCAATAAAACCGAGTGCCACGGGTATATAGGAGGTCTAGCGCAGCCAATAGGAGGGGTAGACGGGAAAGCTTTCGGGACCTTGGCCACCCGAGCCCAAACAGGCGTCTCCCGAGCCCTCAAAGTAAGCTGGACGGGGAGGTGAGGGTAGGTGGTGGCAGCCTCCAACACACACGTGCGGGGGTTAAGCTTTGGCGCCAGCCAACTGCTACAAATGAAATAATCAATGTGCGTGCCAGGTGAAACCTGCCTGCAGGTGGGCGCCTCAGAAACGAAAGCCAGACCGCCAGCAGCCGCGATCCAGTCGGACTGGTCCAGGGCAGCAAGCGGCATGTTGAAGTCGGCGCCGATGACCCACGGAATCTGCATGCCGTTGAGCACTGACAAGTACTCGATGATCTCCCACACTAACTCGGCGTTACACGGCCCATACCCTTCGCCGTCCTTGAGATAAGCCGACAGGAAGACAACCCCGCCAGGCAGAAAGGACAAGACGTGCGCAGCCACAAGCCTGCCAGGGACGAGGACGTGACTAGCACAGCCTGGGGGCGCCTTGATAGGGATATGTGACCTGACCAACACAGCAACTCCGCCTGTAGTGCCAGGCCCTCCATCCTGATTGGGCACGGCAGGGCCCCAGAGCCCTCTCCAACCAGTATCTTCCACTTGCGCCTGTCGCTCGCCAAGCTTGGTATCAGGAACGTGGTGCTCTTGCGCCAGCACCGCATGAGCAGTGCTGTCCGCCAGGTAGTCGCACAGTGGACCCAGCGAGCTCGAGTTGAGCGTCACAATATGCGAGTCACTTTTGCCCTTCACGTGGCCAGCAACCTTGACATCAGGCCGACGAACCCCTGGACAGTCGGTACCCTCTGCCCCGCGATGCCCCTCGGGCGAGCGGGGTGAGCAGTGCGTGCTGCCAGGGCCTAAAGGGTTCATGCCATGGGAGCCACCAGTAGTAGAGCCAGCCACCCTCGTCGAGCAAGAGGCCGAACTCATCAACGCAATAGGCGCACATGTGGCGCTCTCTGCCTGCCACCTGGTGACAGGTGAGTGTAGCGACCGAGACGATGACGCAGCGCCCGTCGTCGCAGCGGCTGCCCTTGCAGAAGACGCAGGAGGGGCAACCTGAACACATGTGACTGGCATACATGGCTGACTGTCAGATGCATCATCAAATTGAAAGGGATCCACATCAGGATCGTCCATGAGAGAACGTCTGGGAGCTGAGGGCAGCTCATCTTGGGCAGTAGGCGTCGTCATTGCAACAGGGTAATAGCATAGACAGGACGAAAGCACAGCGAACCACCCAATAGCATTACGCAGCGGTCGCACCACTGGTCTTGAACTTCTTTGTAAGCGAGTGAACTTGTGCCAAGTGACGCTTGAGCTTATCACGCAGCTCTCGCACCTTGGGCTCGTCAAGCTCGTCGTCGTCCCCGCCCACATCGACCTCAATGCCACATTCTTTAAGATGTTCACGGCATGTGCGACCGTCCAGGCCATCCACGTGAGCATTAGCACGGTCCTGATCCTCATCATCGTCGATATCCATGGATTCTCGAGCCTCAGGAGTAGCGGATTGAGCCTCAGGCTGAGACGGTTCAGGTGCAGCAGTGACCTCTGGGGCATCCTTGAGCTTCTGCACCAGCGCGCGCATGGCGATGAGGTCGGCGCTGAAACGCTCCGATCCGCCCAGCGCGCGGACCACGGCATCGAACTGCTCGACCGTGGCCTCCATGCCTGGCAAGAAAGTGGACAGGGAGGGTGACTTATCATCAAACTGCACAGCGGGACCGACCACATGGCGCAGTCTCTCCTCGAGCTCCACGATGTGCTTGTTAGCGTCCTGCTCGTCCTGCTCGACCTGTGCGAGGGCCTGCTTGGCCTTCTCCAGGGTCGAACGAGCAGCCTCCTTCTTGACAGCCAGGTTGGACAGCTTCGTGCGAGCGGTCTTGAGCTGGCTGGTGAGCCCCTGCAAGTTGGCCTCCAGAGGTTTGTCGGCTTGCAACTCGGCCTGCAGGCGCTGCTTCTCGGCTTCGAAAACCGCACGCTGCTCAGCGTCCTCGGGCCCCGACAGGAGCTTGAGCAGACTTCCAAGCTTAGTGAGGCGCTCACGTTTGACAGCAGCTTCAGTGCCTTTAGCCCAGGGAGGAATAGCGGGCTCCTTGGGCTCCAAATCCGTACCATTATGACTGCCAACCAACTTCTGCATGCGCTGCTGTAACTCTTCCAACTGCTTCGTGAGAAGTTTCTCACGCTTCGTGGCCATGTCGTGAGAGCGCTGGACGGGGACCTTGGGCGGGGGCACACCATGGAACGCTGAGCCTTTCGGGATGCCGCACTTGCCACACCACTTCTGATCGCCACGGTTGATCCAGCTCGTACCAGTGGGCTCATGCTTGCACCATTTGCAATACCATGGGCCTGCCTCCGTACTGCGCATCCTGGGAGCCATGCCGACGGGCGGATGGGCAGGCCAAGCGCGTACACGAGAAACCACGCGAGGCAAGACAAGCGGGCCGTGGTGGGGCTGGGCCGTGCGGGGCGGACCGCACGGCGCTCTGCCTGGGGCGGACCAGGCGAAAGGTTGAAGACTGCCGCGGTAACAGCGGTATCCAGTTTGGCACAAGGGCGCGGAGCCCTTCAGTGCAAAAGTCTTGAGCCAAAATGGCTACGGACGAGGAGGAGGAGGAGGAGGAGGAGGAGGAGGAGGGAGGATCGAGAGGAAAGGAGGGGGAGGAGGTGGTGGAGGAGGGGGAGAGGAGGAGGAGGAGGAGGAGGAGGATGAGGAGGAGGGCCGCTCCCCCGTGCAGCCGAGCCCCCCTCGCGAGCACGGCCGCGCCCGCCCCCCCCGCTGCCGACCCCGGCCACGTGCGAGGGCTCGACGCCCGCAGCGTCGAGGCGGGGCTCGACGCCCGAAGGGCCTGCTCGGGCCGGATCGGCGGGGAGGGGGAGCAAAAAGGGAGGGGCGAGGAGGAGGGGGAGGAGGAGGAGGA